GGTGTAAACCAGCCATTGAAAGGATGCGAGTCCTGGTTCTTTTCTGAACTTTCTACTGAGAACTTCTAGTACGATCGAGAAAATGCCAGCATCAAAAATTACAGAAGAGATAATAGTTTTGCATACTCTAAATAAATTATGCCTCACTGACATTTCTGATGCCCCACAAGGCATTCTTTTTACAGAAAAATATGGTAGCAAATAAGTTTAAAAGAGTCAGAAAAGTAGAATTCTAAATAAATGAAGAAATTTTTGGAATATATTAACTCATTTGTTTCATACTGATATATGATTAAATGTCTACATCTATGCTGAAATAAATTGAAAGAGTTCCCTCAATGAGGAAAAATACAAATTGAAAGTCGTTAAATTTTTTAACATTATGTCATAGTTCATATTTTTGCTTAAAGGTAAAAAAAAGCCTTACTAGAAATAAAGGTCAGCTTGTTGTAATGAAAGATTTTACTCACCAGTAATGTACAAGTCTAAACATGTCTGACAAAAACACTAAGAGAAAAATTCATAAAGTGGCCTTTAATATAATTGAAATTGATCAGGCCAAAAAGAATTGAGCATGGATAAATTTAAACAAAACAATTAATAAATTTGTTTTGATGAAACTATTTAAAATATTTGCACCCACAACTCAGAATATACATTCTTTACAAGTCAACATGATACTTTTACAAAATATCCATATAATGGGCCACAAAGGAAGTCTTAACAAACTTAGAGTGATTGAAATTACCCAAAGCTATATTCTGATAAAAATTAAATTATGCTAGAAATCAGTTTTAAAAAAAAATAGAAAGTCCCTGTTTAGAAATTAACTGATACATTTCTGAATAAGTCTTCCAACCGTGGTGAAATCCTGATGGAAATTAGATGATTGGAAAGGTGAAAAATTCTGTCAATATTTGCACAGGATATGATTTGTGTATGTAGAAAATCCAAACATCTACGATATAATTTTCCAATTGATAAGAAATATTACAAATATATTATTAGACCCAGTAAGAGTTGAGCAAGCTTTCTGGAGTCAAAAATCAATATATGAAAAATAATTACATTTCTGTATATCAGCAAAAAAACCAATTAGGAATGAAAAATACCAGTATCAAAAAAATGCCAACAATATAGAAATTAGCTTAGCATAAGATACTTAAAATCTCTATTGGAAAAGTACCATGTTAGTAGACATTAAAGAAGGCCTAAATAACTGTACTAGAACACAATTATAATCATACCAAGTCTCTAAATTTATCTAAGGATTTAGTGCCATTCAAATGCTCGCTTTGGTTGAGCATGTTGTAACTTAAACTTATTTTAAAATTTATAAGAAAATGCAAAGAAAACCTATTCTACTTGACATCACAACTTAGTATAAAGCTGTAGTACTAAAAGATAGCCTGTTGGTGAAGCTGAGACAAAACCCTAACATGGAAGAGAGTCCAGGAACATTCTCACCCACCCACCATTATTTATCCACTTGGTTATCACCGAGTCAAGAATGTTTAATAAGAAGTGTCAGTGGAAATGGGCAGTTTCTCTTTCTCTGGCTTTCTTTTTCCAGCTTCTTCCCATCAACACACATTTAAGGTTTGTTTTGTTGTTGTGTGACGTGCCTATACTTAGTAACTACTGATGCAGGACCATGAGTGTGCCTTGATACTTAGGAAAACTGCTAATTTGATAATGAATCTACAGTGCTCAACTTTCCATAAGGTGTTTTGTCTCATAAATTTAAGTGAGATGCTAAATTAGTAAAAATTAAAAAGAAAGTGAAAAGATATCCTTGAAGAATACAGTTGATTCCTGCCTCTTAACAAAGGAGAAAAAAATGAGTAATTTAACTTAAAAAATATGGGGGAAACTGAATCTGAAAAAGAAGATAAAAGAATCTTAAGAAAAGAAATTGAAAAAGTGTACAAGAAAGCTGAGAATGTTGAATGATCAAGGAAACACTCCATAGCAGTGAGAAAAACAAAGACAAATACTGGTAATTCTTGAGGTGCTAAAGGAACTCCTGACCTTAGGTCGGACTAGTTCTTGAGTTTACATTAATAGCAGAGCTTCCTAATTAGCCCTAGAAGCAGCACTTTCTTTTCAGCAATGGAATGAGTTTAAAATAAATTGAAGGCAACATGAGAAAATGTGTGGCTGCTCTCAGGGAATTAAGTGCAAGTTATATTATTTTAAAAACCAATGGATGGGAAAATCAACAACGGGAATAAACTCTAATAAAGAGAATCTTTTTTTTTGCTTAAATTCTTTTAGTGGTACATTTTAGGTATACAATACATTTACATTTATCATTGGGTGCTTGTACCTGTACATGAGGCATCTTGGTTCTTATTTTTTCCCCATTTCCCTGCCCTCCCTTCACCCCTTCCACCCTTCCCTATTTACATAGAATTTGTTTCCATTTTTTTCTTTTCTCATAATTTTTCCTTTCCCTTCTTCCTTTTCCCCTTCCCCTCTCACCTCCCCGACCCCTTTCGACCTTTTCTTCCTATTTCAAATTATCAATTATTCGTTTTAATCGTTTTAATCCTTATTTACACTTTCCGTTTCTCACACTAGAGAAACTATTCAGTATTTACACATGTATATCTTGTTTATTTCACTTAAGTATGGCCTCAATATACATCCATTTAGCTATAAATGTCTCTAGTTTCTCATTCCTTATGGCTGAGTAGTACTCCATTTTATTAAAAAACCACATCTTCTTTATCCAGTTTCCAGTTGATGGGCACTTGGGCTGTTTCCAAGCTTTAGCTATTACAAACTGTGCCGCTATGAAGATGGGTGCACATATGTCGCTGTGGTATGATTCTTTTAATTCTTTTGGGAAGATACCCAGCAGGGAGATAGCTGGGTCGAATGGGACCTCCAGTCCTAATTCTTTGAGGTATCTCCATACTGATTTCCACAGTGGTTGCACCAGTCTGCACTCCCACCAACAATGGAGAAGGGTTCCTTTCTCCCCACACCCCCACCAGCATTTGTTATTTGTTGATTTCTTGATAGCAGCCATTCTTTCTGGGGTGAGGTGGAATCTCAGTGTTGTTTTCATCTGCATCTCTCGAATGACCAGTGATGTTGAGCATTTTTTCATATGTTTATTTTCTGCTTTTACTTCTTTGTCTGAGAAATGTCTGTTCATTTCAGATGCCCATTTTTGAATTGGGTCTTTGAATTTTGGAGGTCTGATTTCTTTCAGTTCTTTATATATTCTAGATAGTCCTTTGTCTAAGGTACAGCTGCTGAAAATTTTTTCCCACATTGTAGGTTGTCTCTTAGCTCTGTTGGTTATTTCCCTTGCAGTGCAGAAGCTTTTTAATAAGATGAGATCCCAGTTGTTGATTCTTTGTGCTAGTTCCCATGCTACTGAGGTTTTGTTCATAAAGTCTTTTCCTATGCCAATATCTTCAAGAGTTCTACCTAATTTATCTTCCAGCAAGTCTAGTGTTTCTGTTTTAATATTTATATGTTTAATCCACTTCGATCTTAGTTTAGTGCATGGTGATAGATATGGTTCTAGTTTTAATCTTTGGCAGGTTGAAATCCAGTTTTTCCCACACCATTTATTAAATAGGCTATCTTTCCTCCAATGAGGGCGGTTGGCTCCTTTGTCAAAGAGGAGGTGGCTGAGTATGTCTGGAGTTGTTTCTGCATCTTCTAATCTATTCCACTGATCCTCAGGTCTGTTTCTTTGCCAGTACCATGCTGTTTTTATCACAGTAGTTTTGTAGTATAGTTTCAATTTAGGAATTGTGTTACCCTCTGCCATGTCTCTGTTGCTTAGAATGGCCTTTGCTATTCTAGGTCTTAAAGAGAATCTTAAACTGTTAGCATGCAGAATCAGAAATGTGGTATCCCTGCTTAATAAATAGGATCATTTTCACTTCCTGAGTTTCCATCAAGTCATTTTATTTTTCCTTTTCAAGATTTCTGGTGTAAGGAGGAAAATGAAGTTTTTAAAAGACTGCAGAATATGGAAGAGCAGGAAATTGTAAAACCCTAGTTTTACAAATAGGAGTGTTAACATGCATCATCTGATAAAAATTGTGGCAGCAATTTTTAAAATGTTTACAACCAATAATCTGTTTTTTTCCTTAAAAATAACCCCTTGGTTTACCAGTCTGCATAATCTACTCTTGATTAAGAGGAGGGCAGAAGGAGACTAAATTAGTGCACTTCACTGATCTGCCTCCCATTAACCCTGCTTCAGAAAAAGTCTGTAAAGAAGTTTAACATTATTGGCTGGTGATGTTGCTATTAGTTCTATAAATCAAAGCTAGAAAACCAGCAGGTAAGGTAAATGAGTGCAGGCATTCTGATTGGTGATCACTATGACAGCCATGGAGGGTATTTGATTCACCCCCCACCTCTCTCAAGGGATCTGGTATTTTAATTTACACAACATCCCTGGTGGCCGGATTAGTCCCACAGGCTGCCAGTTTATAGTATCTGCAGAATTAACCTTGGTAAGAAAAGATGTGTATGCTTAGATATAATAAAAACATTGTTCCTGAAATGTGCGTATAGATTCACTTGAGTGTACCCATGTAGTTGTGCGCTAGTAGACGTGAACACCAACAAACAGCAACCCAAACAAATGTTTTGAGCATAAAGCACAGAGTTAATAAGTACTGGACTGTGACCACCCTGGTTCATGAGCGTTCGTATGGGAGTAACTCCTGTGTCCAAACCCTGCCCTGGGCCTAACCTGGCCTCCAGGGTGTGTTTAGGGTCTTTCCTAAAGAGGTGCTGGAGAACACATAATGATTGTGAAAAGTGATTTCTGACGGCAAAGAAAGTTATACACCCTTCTTAAAGCTCTATGTTTGGAATATGAATTTCTGTGGCTTTAATAATGGAATAATTATTGGAACAAACCTCACATAATTACTGTTGATTTTCAAGTGATGGTGTTTCTTTATGATATATATATATATATATATGTTCTTATACTGTTTTTTGCAACTCTTTTTCAGGGGAAATTTCATGGAAATCCAATGCATGTAGCTGTGGTTATCTCCAATTGTTTAAGGGAAGAGAGGAGAATATTGGCTACGGCCAACATGCCTGTCCAGGTAACATTTTGTGAGCTCATAATTTGCTATCATCTTGAACTCAAGAGACGTTCTTATCTTCTATCAAACTGAATTCTTCTGTCTATGTTAGTGGTGCCACCATTGGCCCAGTCACCTGTAATCAAGATCTTGGAATCATCTCTGAGTAGTTCCTTTCCTCTCCATATTGTGATACTCATCAAGTCTTTCCAGAGTTCATTTCTAGAATCTTATCTATATGTTCTTTTCTGCTACCACTAGTCTAGGAATATGGTGAACACCTTTTAGCTGAAATCATAATAATCATTTGGACTCTGCTTTCTCCATTACGTGAATAGTCACACACTGATCTTGACTACAACTCTTCAGTAGTTTCCTATTTCCTACCACATAAACTAGTCTCCCAGCAGGAATTTTGTCTTACAGAAACTCCACAAATACTTCCTTGTTAATTGTTTGAGTGTAATTTTCCCTAATGTGCTTTAGGTTATAGTTTATCCCACTATAATGAACGAACAGAGCACCCATCAAAGACAACTAAAGGAATCAATGAAATTTCTAAGGAATACTTTTCCAGTTAATCCTTATAAACTTAAGGGAGTATATTATCAGTTTTCCAAAGAACATCCTCCATACTTTAATAAATCATACCATCATATTTTTGAAGATATAACAAAAGTCCCTTTTTTAATCATTAAAAATTCTCAGGCTTAGTTATTGTCAGATTATGAATGTTTCCAGAGAACTCTGAAATTTTAACAGCTTATCCTTTTTAGATGATGAAGAATATTATTATTTTCATTTAAAAACTATAGCAAGTTTCTAAAGTACATGTAGTTTGATTCAGTGCCTTTTGAGTAAAAATTAAGACACCACAGTGAATATAAAATATTCTGAATATACAAGGGGTAATCAAACATACAGGTGTAGAGATTTTAAAATTCTGACAATAAGACACATTGCCATTAACCCTCTCAAAACACTCCCCCTGGCTTTAACCACACTTTTCTCATCATTCCTACCACAGCAGTGCGACTACACACTCACTAGAAAGGACCGCCAGAACTGCTTGAGCACACAGCAAGAATATTGCAAAAAGTACATTCAACATAAGGGGAAGTATGTTGAGGGGGATTAATGGCAATATTTCTTTTACTGTGATAATTATTTTTAATTTTAAGAATTCAGTGTATTTTCTGATCACGTCTCCTATATTTGCAAGAGTCCTTTTTTGTCTCCATTATTTCTAGTCATGTGTTTGTGTGTTGTCCCCTTCAAATGTCAAATATTAGTCAAGTGGAAACATTTGTCACTCAGAATAATCTGCCAGTACCGTAAATTGCTGTGAAAGAAGCACTGGTTTTTAAGTTTTAACTAGGAAGACAAATAGTAGAGTCCAAAATAAGAGAAGGGGAATTGTTTGGAGGCTTTGGCAAACTGGAGAATGTGGTATGGTTGAACATCTGACAAAGAGTCGAGGACCCAGCTCCCCCTTGAGTTCCGCCTCTGATTTGTGCGGATTTTAGCCACCAGACTTTCTACCCATCCCTCCCGCTCGCCTGTGAGATAACGGGACAGCTTGTATGTGTCATGGTCACATGCCTCTTACCTGTGAGGCTCCACATGGTGGAGAGTAAGCCTATTTTAGAAATCTTTTCTAGATCAATGAAATTGATACATCAGTAGCTCATAGCCTCGTAGCCTCATAGCTAAGATCGTTAGAGTGCTGGAGAAGTGGCAGTCAGAGGAGTAGCGTAGCCTTTCTGCTTAGCCAGACTAACATTTTCCATCTCCTTCAGTAAAGCCTTTTGTCCTAGAGTAGAAATAAATCCCACCCCGGGAGATTTAATCTCTCCAGTGGTGAATTTTATTTGAATTTAATGTAATTTCATTGTACTAATTTTTATAGAATTTCAAAACTAGTGTAATTCTGCCATAGAAAATAGGAATATTTAAAAAATCATAAAATCATCTGTAATTGCAGAGAACACACGGGTAACAGTTTGGTGTGTGTGTTCTTCCACTCATATGCTCTTGAGTTTATATCTATACACATATCAGTATATTTTACAATAAAGATTACATACACTTCCATTATAGAAGCAATACATACACCTAGCGAACATATACATAGTGTTTTATAATCTTTTCAGTTCCTTAAACTTTAACACCATTTGTATTATTTCATTAAATACTTTCCCACAGCATGGCTGTATTGTTTTGGGGGCTTGGGATTTTCTTGGTTTTTGTGGTTTGGTTCTGGGGTGGAACCCAGGGCCTCGTACATGGTAGGCACACACTCTGCCACCCTCAGCTCTTAGGAGGTAAATTTTTAGTGGCTGTTTAATATTTTACATCATGTTGATCGAAATCTCAGTTCTGAGTGTATGCTGCATATGTTGCATTCATCATGAATCTGTTTTATCAACATCAGTGAAATGTCAAGATCCTTTTTCCAGGGACCCTTGGAGAAATCCTTACAGAGTTCTTCAGTTTCAGAAAGACAGAGGAATGTGGAGCACAAAGTGGCTGCCATTAAAAACAGCGTGCAGGTGAGTGTGCTTGTGTAGACACCAGAGAGGCTGGCTGTAGTCGCCACACAAGGAACTGTGCACCAAGCGGGTGTTTGCAGAAACCGTGAGACAGTTTGTTAGTAAGATATATCTCTCTCATGCAGTCTGTTTATATGGGGAGGGTTTCTTTGTGGGAAGCTTTTAAACTCCAATCTGAATTTCTGTGAGAAAAATAAAAGCTATCAGGATATCTATTTCTTCATGAATGAGCTTTGGTAATTTGTGTTTTTTAAGAAATGTGACCATTCCAACTATGCCTTTATTGGCATAAAGTTGCTCATAATATTCCTTTATTTTCCTTTGAATATCTAAAGAACCTATAATGATATCACCTCTGTCGTTTGATACTTGTACATCTGTTTTCCTTTCTTCCCCCTAGTCAATCTGGATAGAGATTTATCAATTTCATTGATCTAGAAAAGATTTCTTAAATAGGCTTACTCTCCAATATGTGGTATATGAAATACAATGCTAATTTCCTTTTCTAAAACTTACATAGTGTTCATTTAGTCTTTTATAAAAATAATAACTATTCAATAAAGTTAAACTACTGGGCCAGGGATTTAGCTCAGTGGCACCACCGCCTGCCTTGCAAGCACAAGGTCCTGAGTTCGATCCCCCCAAAAAAAGTTAAATAAACTACAGACATTTAAAGGTAATCTGCCGCATACGTTGCCTGAATAACACACAGAGAGTTTAAAGGACAGTATTTCCAAGCATTTGTTTTCAGACTTCTGATTAAGGGATCTTCCAAAACAAGTGAAACGGGCGTGCAAAGTCTCTCTTACACTGCACAAGGACAAGTCAGGTTCACAAGATAGACCTAAGGCAGAAAGTCTCGGTGCGTTACAGTGTCAAAGCAGTGGCTCTACTGACTACACGTGTGTGCGTGCAGATGAGTAGCGTATTATGGTGAGAATACTGACCACATTCATCAGGCACACATGGGTTTTGCATCCAGCCTCCCCCCCCCCCTCTCTTTCTCTCTCTCTTTCTCCCCCCCCCCCCCCCCCCCGCCGCTCTCATTTGCTGTGGTGCTGGGATGGGACTGAGAGTCCTGCACACCCTAAACCAGCACTGTCTCACCCAGCTACCCCAGCCTCTCCGCCTCAAATTCCTTTTGAAGCCCTGAGAAGTGTGTTGCAAGAGAAGCACACCTTTTGGAGCCCAAACCAGATCCCTCCCGAGGCCTCTACCTCCTCCCCACCTGTCGTGAGTGCTGGCTGCCAACCAGGCTACCCTCAGTCAGTGACCGAGTGACCGGGCTGGGAGGAAGGGCCAGACCTCGCCTCTAGGTGGGGTTAACTCTGATGCACGTCTCGTTCCCGGGGTCTTTTGGCACCAAGACCAAGTTGGACTCCAGGGGGCCCACATGCTGGCCAGCTCCTCCCTCGCGGGTGCCTCTGCCTTATTTCCCCTCTCCTGGGAAGACTCCGTGGGCAAATCTCATGCACCTGCTGCCCATCCTGGGTCTGAGTCCAGGAAGCCCGGGGCCCCATTGGCCACACCGGTGCCTTCCCCACAGGTGCTCCCCCCACTTGTGCCTAACCTGGTCTCTGAGAAAAGTTTGGGGATTTGCACTCTGGCAAGTGTCTCAGGCCACCAACAGGGCTTTGCAGGTCATTGCTGGCGTTTTCACAGTGGCAACCACTGATGATGATATCTGAAAGCTTTGTAATTACTTTAGCATTGATTTTTCTAGTTATAGTTTAATATACTTTTATTCATTTTGATGTACTTTTCGTTAGAAGATCCTGCACAATGTTGTCTTCTTTCAGCTTTTAATTAATGTTGCCATCAGAACAGGGAACCCCAGTATATCTCTGCCTTAAAACTATCATGTTTTAATTTGTTATGTTGTCTCAGGCATGAGTTTTAGGAGCCTAGAGACATCCACAATCTTGGCTCTTCAGAAATTTACCATTAACATGAAGTGCTGCAAGTGATAGTAAAGTATAGTGAAAAGAAAGAGATCTTGAGCTAGACTAGACTGGATTTGAATCCTTGCTGGAGTATTTGTTACTGTATGGCCAAGCCTCGATGTCCTCAATTGGAAATAATTCACTTTGCAGGTTGCAGAAAGGATAGCGTGTGTAAGATTTAGGCATGGCAAAGGTTGCTAAAAAAATTCATAGCTGCTATTGTTATATAGGCAATATAGTGGGTAGTCAATAGCTGCTTCTTTGTTTCTTTTCTAAGATTTATAAATGTCAACAAAGTCATTTTAGAGAGCGAGATAACAAACAGGGTGGAAAAGAGGAATGGTAGCTGATGCTTGTGAAGCATAGACCTGACCCCAATACCATTTTTGTTTGTTTGTTTGTTTGTTTGAGACAAGGTCTCACTTTGTGTTCAGGCTGGCCCTGAACTCACTCTGTAGCCCAGGCTGGCCTGGAACTCATGGCGATCCTCCTGCCTCTGCCTTCTGAGTGCTGGGTTTATAGGCGTGCACCACGGCGCCCAGCTCAAACACCATTGTGCTGTATGATCTTACAACTCCATACATACTTTTATTGTCCTTCCTCCTCCTCCACCCACCTGCTCTGCCCTGTTCTATGGACAAAGAAGCTGACACACAAAGACGTTTTCTCCAGTTCATACAGCTTAATTAATAAGTCACAGAGTAGGAATACAAATTGAGACTCTGACTCAAAATTTGATGATTTTCTTAATGAGTAATTTAGCTGACTAAAATTTGGAATTTGTGGAGAAAGATCTGCTAAGGTAGATGCATGATTTCTTAGGACCTGTTGGAAGGGGTAGGCAGTGGAAATTTCAACTTTCTATGAAGAAAGAAGTTTGTAGCCTGGAGTCTAAGGAGCAGTTGGTCCAGCTTTGGTAAGGGTAGAGGCTCAAGAGTCTGACTGTCCAACCCTCCCCCAAACTCCTCCCCAGAACCTGCGTGACCTTGGGCAGTGAGACCTTCCACGTCTTCAACCTCTGCTTCTTGTCCTGTGAAGGCGAGGATGACCCACAGCTTGAGTAGCATGAGACTCAATGAGATACTATACAAAAAGCCTTTTGCCCAGATGTTGACATTTAAACACTGTTATGACAGAGCAGGAAAACATCATTGGGGTTGGAAAAAAGTAAAGTAAGTCTGTCTCAAAAGACAGAAGCAGGCAGGAGAAAGCATGGGTGTGTCTTAAGCAGAAAGAGAACATACCTAGGCTGAATTGTCATAAAGTTACGGCAGCCTGTTTGAATGGAGATTAGGCAAGAGGTGATCGTTGGCCCACTAATGGAGTTAAACAGAACTGCTTAAGAGTTGTAAAAGGGCAAAAGCACTCATTTTCTCCAGTTTTTTTTAAAAAAGAGTATGACATCACTTGAAAACAACTGAGAAATGAGAGATAAGAAGCCAAAGGATTTCCAAACAAGCAGAAAAAAAAAAAAATAGTTGAAAGAGCAAGTCCAACCTGGATCTTCCAGCATTATTCAACTTTTTGTGAATTAGCTTTGCAGAAAAGTAGGTTCATTCTGGTCTTCCGATGCTGTTGGAGGCTGGAAGCACCAAACTGTTATTTAAAAATATCTGTGAGGTTATTTCATTGGCATGCTGAAACACTGCCCCATACTTTGATATTTCCTTTTGAGTGATACATTTTCTTTTGTGTAAAGATGACAGAACAAGACACCAAATACTTAGAAGACCTGCAAGATGAATTTGACTACAGATATAAAACAATTCAGACAATGGGTAAGTTTTTATTTTGTCTATAACTCTACATAGGGACATGAAGGTAGCATGAATATTGAGGCTTAATTTTGCTGAGAGTTGATAAGCAAATTTGTTCTACTTCCTTAGGTGAGTGTTAAAAAAAAAAAAAGAGGATACAGACAAGGTGTATTTCTTTGTTTTTGCTTCTTCCTTTTCTCTCTCTCTCTCTCTCTCTTTCTCTCTCTCTCTCTCTCTCTCTGTCCCCCCCCCTCCCCGCCCCATGTTAGCAAGGAAATAAGTTATGGTGAACACTGGAAAGCATTAGATAATGAGATTTTCAGTTCATAAAATGCTACATAAGCAAGATTTTGTTACCTCTGGGGTCTAAAAGTTAGTGAAATTGTAAATTATTACAAGCAGGAATGAGTTCCTGGAGATCAGTGCTACTTTGTAGAGAAATTAGCCACAGTGTTGTTCTGGAATCTCATTTTCACAATTACACAAGTCAGATTAGCATCCCTACCCCACGTTTTTATAAACATAACTGGCCAGCATAAACAGTCACTTGCTGTATATCAAAAACTGTAATGTTCAAATTTAAAAATATGATGTTTGTTTATAACACATCCCCACTGAAGAGGCTAAATTGCTTTTGTTTTGTATTAGATATTTTTGTTAATTTGCCACTCTGTCACTTGTAGTTTTAATGGGAGTCTAGCCCAGTGTGGACAACAAAAGGAAAAATAAAACATTTAGTCTTTATTAGTTCCTAGACCAAGTAAATAAAACAAACTCTTGCAGGCAGTTACCTTACTTATCTATTTGAAACTAGATCTCAGAAAGAGTCAAACATGATTTAATTCTGGGCACAAAGGGAAGCCCCTTCCTTCCTTATTTATACCAAATACCCAAGCTTATCTTTAATACAGAGGTGTCTAGTAAGGGACCCATTATAAAAACTTCTTACTTTCCTCCCTCCACCATCAAAAAATGAACATTGAGTGAAGAACGAATGGCCAGCCTCAAGGTTTGTGAGACAGAGGTCGTCTTCCTCAGGCGATGGATGTAATTCCTTGGATGTAATTCTTCCTGCCACAGTGAGCATATCCTTGAACTCAGTTCCCAAGCTCGACTGTCATGGCCTCATTTTGTCTCTTACAGCCTAGGTTCCTGCTCTTCTCCAGGCTGGTATGGGATGGCTGCCTGAAACCCGTTGGGCTTTTGGGAGCAGAGAGCTTTGGCTTGGAGAATTCCCAATCTCATGTGTCTTCCTCCGCAGATCAGGGAGACAAGAATAATGCCCTGATGAATCAGGAAGTTTTGACGCTGCAAGAAATGCTCAACAGCCTAGACTTCAAGAGAAAGGTTAGTGAAGAATCTTAATTTGGCCATTTGCCCATTTTTCTCTGTTTCTTAAAGCTAATCCTACTGAAAAGAATCATGCTCTTAGATTTTATCAGTTCCATTTGCACCGAGTGAGTGACAGGCAGTGTTTCTAGGAGCAGTGCTTGCGAACTGCCCAATTCAAAGCTCCCCCTCTCTGAGTCTGTTAATCTGGCTCACGGGTATATTTACTGTAGCTATCGTTAATTTCAAACTGGAAATGTTACTCGATTATTTTCACTATTTCAGACATAGCTGTTTTAGTGGCTTTGCTTCATTTGCTAAAATGGATTTCAGTGTATATGTGTAATTTAAAAATTACTTGACGATTGCTCAAATTTTATTGGAAATAAGTGTTCTAGTTCTTCCTCTAAGAAATGACACTATGTTAAACAATTCTCTGGATTTCAAATTAGTTCACTCAAAACTGAACGCATTCAGTCTAAACTCAGGCCAAAGAGAAGAACTTTTCTTCTGGTTCAATGGAATATTTTTCATAAAAGGAAATGTGTTTATTTCCATTTCCTACTTCTCTTCGAAAAGAAACACAATTGATATTTAACCAGTAACTGATGATCGGTAGTTCATTTTTTTGTTGTTGTTGTTGTTTTTTGGTATCTGGGATCGAACTCGGGTCCTTGCGCTTGCGCAGCAGGCGGCAAAACCACTGAGCTAAATCCCCAGCCCAGATCAGTAGTTCATTTTTAAAGTTCAGCTTCATTTTTTTGTTGTTGTTTAAGAATTTTTATGAACATTAAACATGGAAAACTATAAACTCAGAGAGTTATACATAAGTTTGTAAGCATGCAAGTAGGTAACCCAAGGTAAAACTTAAAGCTTCTATGGATAATAAACCTATGCTATATACTTTCTGCGTGCCATGTTATCCTATTTTAGAAATAAAATTTTAAGGAGAGAAAGAACCTTGAAAATCACTCAGTCCGTTCACCTGGTTGTATAGATGAGAGACCTGCATTCCAGCAAGGTTAAATGCTTTGCCTGAATTCATAGAACTTGTGGCAAAGCCTGGATAGAAACTCAGGCCTTTGAATGTTATGCTTTTCCAGACCCTAATAAAGACCTAATTAACACAGAGAGGCTCAAAGTTTAGTCTATATACCTTCAAATTAATGAACAATCATATTTCTGAAAAAATAAACATTTTTATACATCCATTGAAGAGGCAAATACCTGGTTTTTGTGTGCGTTAGTGGTACTGGGGATTGAACTCAGGGAGTGGTGTATTGCATCCCCAACCCTGTTTATTTTTTTATTTTGAGGCAGGATTTCACTAAATTTCCCAGGCTGGCCTCAAACTCACTCTGCTCCTGCCTTAGCTCCCCAGGTAGCTGAAACTGCAGGCATGTGTTTCCAGGCCCAGCTAAGTGTGTGGTTGTGTGACGACAACATTCAGCACTGTCCCAGAAATCACCAGTTCAACTTATGTACACTGAAACACATGAGAATGTTAGATGGGGCTCATTCTTCTTTCTGATGACTCAGTCTAATTGTAATCATTAAATTGTTTGGAAAAGCAGGGCTGTGGTGCCCAGGAGCTAACTCCTGGTGGAATGTTTGGTCAGACTTTTAAGCAAGCTTTTATCTTCTAGGTCCAGTTGTTTTCTAAGTTTGATTCTGGTTGTTTCTTATGAAAACCTCTCGGGCGGTGCCTTTGTTTCTAGGAGGCCCTCAGTAAGATGGCACAGATAGTGAATGAGACAGACTTGCTGATGGGCAGCATGCTGCTAGAGGAGCTGCAGGACTGGAAGCGGCGGCAGCAAATCGCCTGCATCGGGGGTCCGCTCCACAATGGGCTCGACCAGCTTCAGAACTGGTAAAGCGAATTGACTTGAGTTTCTCATGAAAACCACAGGAAGTACAAACTTCAGTGTCTCTCAGCCAGAGAATACAGGTTTCCATTTAGCTTATTGGTGGCATATGAGCAGCTGGAAACTCAACAGTAGAACACAAAGATGGATTTGTATAAATGTTCATCTTTTCCACTTCTTGGGGTAAGAGGATGGTGTGTCTTCAGGATGCATAAGAATTGCTTCATTTTCCCATGCAGAATATCAATCTAAAACTCTTAAATGGATTTTGGAAACCAGCAGTACATTTTCTGTAAGGATATAATAAACACTGGCTTCAAAATCTTCAAAATTTATATATGTGCCTCTTAAAGATACCAGAGTTAAACATTAGCTTTGTGTTTTCAACACAAATTTATTTTGTTAAAGATGTTGATCAAAAGATGCAAAATTTCAGTTAGAAGAGAGGAATAAATTCAAGAGATCTATTGCATATCATGATTGTAGCTAACAGTGCATTATCACTGACAATTACTGAAGAAAATAGAGTCTAAGAATTCTGACCATTATAAGTATGTGAGGTAATGCATGTCATTTGGCTTTGAGTTAGCCATCCTACGATGTTTAATATATCAAAATATCATGTTGCATACTGCAGATATACACGATTTTGTTATGTTAGTTATAAAATGAGTTTTCAAAATCTCAAACAGTTGTTAGAACACAGCATCTCCATCTGTGTATGTGCACAAGCAGGTAAATGTAGGTATCATCCTTTTCAATATCAGATAAAAATGTCAATAGTCTTTCCACCTCATAGACACAAAATAAAATTATCTGACTAAAAAAACAATTGTGAAGTATAATGAGAAACAAAAATGCACAGATAAAGTTCACAATCGGTTCATAAGGGTCCAAATGAAAGCTGTGGAATCATGCAGGGACTGAGGGCCCTCCCTCTCGCTGAGAGCTCTACTTCTCAGGAAATGTAAGGGTGGGCTCATTTTAAAACACAGTGATTTCCAGTGGGGAGGTACTTTGATTCTCTAGCCCACTGTCCTCTCTTGTAAAAACAAGGTAAATGATAAAAAGGAGCAATAAAGAACTTTAAAAAATAGTGCTCATTTCAAAATCCTGGCAGGGACTAGAGAACCCTTTCCACAACTTTCAGAGGAAAGAGTTGTTTTGGAGCCAGCGGGGCTTCTCACATCCAGTGATGTGGTTCGTGTCCATTTCAGTCTTTCTTAGTCTTCCCTGTTCATCTGGCCCAAACCATTGATCATTTTTAGCTAATACTTAGGGCTAGGGCGCACACGCATGTGTGTGCGTGGAGATTCTTCAGTATTCTTACACATGATCTTCTTCGTGCCATGCATGTTTTGTAGTTTTAGATTGCTCTTGCTTTGCCTTTTAGTGAGTGCTATATTCCTAAAATACCTAATAGAGAGAGATTTGGTTCCAAGTATTGACAAAATTTCATAAATAATGTCTTTAATTGAAAAATAAATTAGAAAACACCGAAATCATTTAACATGTGATGCATATTCAAGAAGAAATGGATTAGGAAAAGAATAAAGAATTCTCACTAACTTTAATTGGAATGGATTCATTTTAATTTGATAACTAATAATTTAACATTTATGAAATATGGTCAGTTGTTTAAATGCTCAATTATTAAGTGGAAAAACTATCATTTGCTGTTCAATAGCTTTACCCTACTGGCAGAAAGTCTTTTCCAACTCAGAAGGCAGCTGGAGAAATTGGAGGAGCAATCTACCAAAATGACATATGATGGCGATCCTGTACCCATGCAAAGAACTCACCTGCTGGAAAGAGTCACCTTCTTGATCTACAACCTTTTCAAGAAGTAAGTCAGTCTTATCAGTGTAATGCTGTGTGACATCCTCAGTTCTATGGAGTAAGGACACCCTTATGAGATTCAGGGGGTGGGAGTTCAGGTGGAGGAGTGGCAGGAAAGTTTGAATACTGAGCCCCCAGGAAGAAGTGAATTGAGCCCCTAGAAAGTTCTGAAAACCACATCTCTACTTTCGCTACTTGTTCAATAATACTTCTCCCACCAACTGACTCAGTTTTCCATGAGCTAAGCCACGTCACCCATCTACAGCTCAGTTTTAACATTTTAGAAAAGATTTCAAGGATTTCTTCCTAAACACATATCCAAGAAATGGAAAGAGGAGATGTTTTTGAGTTTATAAACTCACTAAAAAAAAGATATTAATGTGTACCAGAAGTCCTAATATTCAGCCCAAAATGACATGAAATTAACTCTCTAATATGATAAAAATGGACCCCTTGTGATGACTCAAGTATAACAACTAAGAATTATTTACCATTATTACTTAGGGACAATCCTCAGGCATTTTCCTATCTTGTGATCATTACTTGTGTGTAGCTGCTGGAAAAGTTTGCATTTAGTGGGCATTTGAAAGTCTTCTAGGTGTAGAAAATTTGCACTTATCGAGAGGATAGCATCCTGTTTCTCCGTGGTTTGCAGCCTGTCGATATTCACAATGCTTTCAGATGACAGCTTGATTTCCTTTCCATCTAGCTCATTTGTGGTTGAGCGACAGCCATGTATGCCCACCCACCCTCAGAGACCGATGATACTGAAAACCCTCATTCAGTTCACAGTGAAGCTCAGGTAGGCAGAACGCCTTCTCTTGTTCCATGTTTGTGAGCTGTCGCCACTGGTGGTGAGGAGGCCAGTTTCTCTTAGGGTGCCTCACATTCAACTCGTCTTTCTGGAGCACCAAGCTTCTGTAAATTCCAGAAATGTTAACATGACCACCTTGCTTGTCAAGACCAGGACAGTGTGGGATATTAATGAGGACACAAGGGACATTCACGTGAAAGTGTCAAATCCTAATATCAGGCACAATGCGATTAACTGCTGAGAAGGTTAACTCACAAAGAGGACCCAAGAGACCTGAAGAAGGAGGAGAATGACGCAAGAGGGAGCCACAGAAATAACGACTTCCTGAGTCCATCAGGAGACAGAATGGAAAAGGCAGATGGGGGACAGATTGTGGAAGGCTGTGAATATCCCATCCAGGAAATGTAGTGGCACATTTTCCCTCTGTGATGGCCTAGTAACTGGCTTCTCAAACTTTCCACAGAAACTCTGAACACTGCAATTATCAGGATAGCCCTACTGTGTACCCGATTTAAAACCACATGCCTTTTGTGTTGTTTTTGCTCTGCTTTAACTGTATATTTGATCTTTTCCATTAGGATGAGCAATCAAAACTTAGTTTTCCCTAATCACACAACAATGACTTTTTGTTCTCTCTGTCAAAGATTTTTATCGTGTCTCTAACTCCAAGCCCTAAAGCTCAGAATTCCTAGACTCCTGCTCACTTCTGGGAAGCTGAGACTGCAGACTAACAAATAACTGGTGCAGCCAGAGTAGAGAACAGTTTAGGGTCCTAGCTAGAGTCCCTCAGCACAGGTCAGCCTTGGAACTCTGTTTTAAAGAAAGGCACTTGTCCTCAATTTGCATTTCAAAGCCTTAATTTAACCTCTCCCTTGGTTTTTGCACCAACACCTGAGAGCCAAAACCCAAAAGGCTGAAGCCAGGTTCTTTCTTAAAATGTCATTCTTCTCCGAAGTTTATTGCTCATCCCATATCTGTGTATCACTCTGAAGACTGTAAGAACAAAGGGAAATGGGATGGGCGGGGGTGGCACCTCCTGCTTCTGGAGACGCGGGCCCTAGAGATGACCGAGCAAGCCCACAGTGCTCTCTGCGGAAAGGGGAAGAGAGAAGAGGGCGCAGCAAAAGCTTCTCCACGGAAGAGGCCCCTGGACAGGCACCTTGTATGCTGTCGGAAGTGAGTGCAGGGGCATAGACCAATAGTCCCCGGTGTGGGCGCCCTGTCGCCTTCTACCCACAGCTGGAGCTCCTCCTCCTCCTCTGAACCCTGCTCCCCACTGTCTTGATAGACGATCCTTTACTTACTATACAGGTTTCCCTGCACCCCTCTCTACCGTCACAAGCACTCTCCTACTTCAAAGGGAGGATGACGTGGGACCCTGGTGTCAGTCACAGCATCATCGCACGGTGAATGAGATCACCCTCCTAGGCAGGATAGGAAGGAAAGTGGAGGAGAAAATATCCGACCACATTCACTTTCAGTGACTTTACACTTAACATACTCAAGACCCTGAAGCCATTCTGTGCTTTCTTTGTACAGGACATTCAGGGACCTTTGCTATATTCCACCCACCCTTCTGTTTGGGCTGTCTGTGACCTGTGATTTTATTTCTCTAATGTTGAGGATTTATCACCATATTTCTGTATTCCCTCTGCCTGGCTGGACTCCTTCCTTTCATGTGTAGCTGACTCTACATTTCTCTTTTCCTGATTCTCTGCTATACCAGTTCCCAGGTCCTGGAGGCTGCGTTGGGTTTCTAAAAGGAGGTCATTATATACTATTTGTTCAAAGTTAGGTCGTTTTTAGTTACAAACATTTTTGTTTACATATAATGTGTTTAAAGATTAAGAACGTATTTGAAATGGGATTTTCCATATTCATTTCAGAGGCACCTGGTCTTTTTCAGTATTTTCACTATGTGTAACAGTTATCAAAACATTTAGTTTGCTAAGTTGACAAAACTTTTTTGGAATATGATGATTAAATAGACCCACGTTAATACCCTTGCAGAGAATTTTTCTTATATCTACACCGTTGACCCACATGTGGACTTTAGCCAAAACAGATGCCTGTATTCGTGACCTGGCCAATGTATTACCCAGCATACATGACAGAGCAATGGGCAAACTCTCAAATGTTTGTCTGTGATGATATTGAGGGCCTGATGTCAGCATTGGTAACATGGTGAGCTAAAGAGGAATTATACATTTTAAAACACATTAACATACAGCCAGGGATTTAGCTTGGTGGTACCGTGCCTGCCTGGCAAGTGCAAGGTCCTGAGTTCGATCTCCGGTACTGCAAATACACACACACACACACACACACACGTTAACATATAGCAGAAGATAATATAAATTTTATGTATTTGTATATGCTATACATATATTTAATTCTTTAAAAATAAAAAGGCCTTTAACACTTCTAATTTTTATCTTTGATTCTGTTATCTCTTTTCAGACTGCTAATAAAATTGCCAGAATTAAACTATCAGGTGAAGGTTAAAGCATCAATTGACAAGTAAGTTTTCTAATTTCATTAAAAAATGTAACAATGTAAGATATTTTTAAGTGAATTACCCTTATTTTATACAAGAATTTTAAACTTTTAAAATTACTTCTCTAGCTTTATATATCAATGTACTTCAACTGTTTGACTTTGAAGTTCAAATATTTGACAGAACCCAATGAAGAAATAATTTTTTTTTTCCCAGTCCTGGGGATTGAACTCAGGACCTTCCACTTGCCATGTAGGCGCGGTGCTGCTGAGCTAAATCCCCAGCCCTGAAGATTTAATTTTTAAAACTGTATTATAGGGCCGGGATTTAGCTCAGTGGTTACATCACCTACTGCGCAAGTGCAAGGACCCAAGTTTGATCCCTGGTACCTAAATAAATAAATAAATAAATAAAAATAAAATTGTATTATAAAAGCTCTGTTATATATGATCCTGTAAGGTAGTCTAGAAAGTTTTTCTAGACCTACTAAACAGATGATTTTAAAGAATTTTCTTGGTTTTACAGGAATGTTTCAACTCTAAGGTAAGATGCTTATATTGTAGAATTATTTTTGCTATTCTTATAAATATATTGTACTTGAGGCCAGATGGATAAATGACTAAGATCTCCTCTCTAGCAATCGAAGATTTGTCCTTTGTGGAACACATGTCAAAGCCATGTCCATTGAAGAATCCTCCAATGGAAGTCTCTCCGTAGAATTTAGACATTTGGTAAGTTTGAGAGTAAAATTACACAGGCTTTTCTTCTCACCCCAAATTGAACACATCTTTACTAATAGGCCTTATAATTCTGTGTAGTTTTGTTAAATATTTCCTCAGTGAGATTAAGGATTATATTGAGAAGTGAAATATACTATCATTGGAGAACTAAAATGTTATAAAGAACTCACACAATCAGAGTTCTTAACAATGGTAGCGTACTACCTAAGTATATAGAATAGTTGGTCAATCTATTTGATGATAAAGACAAAGATGATTTACCTTAAAATGGATAGGCGTTCCTGGTTCCTCTTTTTAAATCTCCCCAAGGAGCAGTATCCTGCAATGACACAACGTGCCTAAACGTGTTTTCATCTCAGAACAGCTTGAGTGGATGGGATGTTCCTGGTCACAGCAGTTGTGCGGTTTACACTGGCATGTCTAGAAAGCTCCAGCCCACCCTCATCCTGTTGCTTCTTGTTTTTCACCACTTCCTCTTAACCTAGAGTTCTCTTTCTGTCTTCTTCCTAATTGTCTGCGTAGATAGCTCTTAGATTCCCAAGGGCCTGGTGCTATTCCTGCCACACAGCATGTTACTCTGGTTTATTAACATTTAGCAAGCCCCTCCCCTGGATGTTGAGGCACCACCAAATCAGCCTCAAGAGGTCTGCTTTCTGAAAGATAAATTTCAGGTTAACAGAAAGAGATCTCTATACCCTCGGTTGTAGTGGTTTTTGTTTTGGGGTTGGTTTCCAGGATTCCCTCCTGTTGAATCTAGGCAACTGGATCAAGTTTCAGTGAGCTAGAAAGTATCAGGGTGACAGTTCTAGAAGTCAAAATGCCCAAGAAAATGATGACAGTAGGTACAACCACTTTGATTTGTAGCGGAGTATTCTCCTCATTTAAACACTGTTGTTTTCTTTTACAAAGCAACCAAAAGAAATGAAGTCCAGTGCTGGAAACAAAGGAAATGAGGTAGGAAATATTTCCTCCTGGAGAATTTTTAAAGAAAGAATCCTGTAATATCTCATTTTTTTACAAAGCTCTTGCACTGCTTAATTTTACATAAAATCCAATCCATGTTTCTCGGATTATAAACACTAAACTTGATAATTATGGACAGTAACGGACATTTTTAATGGAAAAATAAAAAGAACATATCATAATGCCCTCCAAAATAACTATTACTACTTTGGTACACATTATTGCAATATTTTATTTATGTATATATTACTTTAAAAATATATCACATGCATTGTTTTATAATCTTGTTTGACAGAAATATGTGGTGAATAGCTTTCTGTAACTTTCAGTACACTTGGAGAACATCATTTAAATGTGTTGCATTATATTGCATCTTAAAGGTATGCCATAACTTCTTTAGTTGGTCCTCTATGATTGTAAAATATCTTAAAAATCACTTATTTTCCCACAGAATTGAGGTAAGGCTCAAAAAACATGACACGTATGAAAATCATAGGTGAAGAACAACCCTTTTATTCTGTGGTATCCATTATCTGGCCCTCTGAGGTTTGTACTGCACTAGATAAATTAAATAAAACAACAGATTTATGCAGTCTGAGTACTCACACTTGAGTCAGTGGATGACAGAGTGGTGAGATCCTGGATTGGAAGTCATCATGGAGATCATCTATTGAGACAGCATTGTGTCTGTTGACCTGTGTATTTGCAAGTAGGAAACCTAGCCATGCTCTGACTGCTAATGTGATCTTTGGCAAATGATCTGGTGGAGAAAAACTGCATTTTCTTTGCTAAGAGGCCAAGAGAGAAATGCCCAACGCTCCCTGCATAGAGATGTTGCATATGTCAGGCCACCTGCATGAAGCAGAAACTTATTTCTGTGCCATTGGTACAGGTCCAGTTTCCTACCCTTAGTCATAGCCCCGATGAGAAAGAGCTTCGAATTGTTGGGAAGAAAAGTGCTTGAGTAATCCAGCCTCCAAGTATATCTGGTCTGTTATACCCACAAAACCACCAAGACCGTCACAAAAAGCCCTGCGCCATTTTCCCCTCTTAAGAATTCTTCATTCTTTTGTGCCTTAAAAATCATTTACCAATATCACAGTCCCACCAAAGATAAGCTACTCATAAGTCTTCCTAGGGCAGAATTTCTGCTTAAGGCAGAGCCCCAAGGAATTTTCTACTGTCAAAGATATCACCTGAGCACAGCTTTTGAGTTTGAGGATATTCTAATGAAACAAATAAGTGGGAGCTAGTATTCTCACCTGGTGCATTATGAATGAAAGCCCATTTCACACATATCACTAGAAGTTTGACCAAAGTTGTGTTTCATTCAGCCTGACATTCCTGAACAGTATAATTATACATGAGTCCGAACAGACTAAACACAATTATTCTGAACTTTTCTTAAGCAAAACAAATACAATGGGAATACATCTAAATAGCTGAACTCTACCAGTACATTGCCATGTTTATGAATACAAAAATCAAAATCTTTACTTGGATTTCCCTAGAGACAGGAAATCAAAGTAAATCATTTCCTGTAGAAAACCAAACACTGTTTATTATCACTGTCTGCTTTTATTGTTTAAATTTATTTCCTCTTATTTTCTTACTAATAAAATCATGCTGTCATAGCATGACCTTGTTTCTTCCTTTTTCTTTCTCAGGTTTGCTAGAGCAGGCTCGTTGTACGTTAAGCTGTTCTTCGAGCCCCCCCTGTTGACAGAATTTTAGTATGACTCCCAGGGACACTTAACCAAGCCACCAGGCTATGTGGTTATGTCCCGAAATATGTGAAGAAGTTGAGCTGGCCAGGAGGGATGACCAAAAGGAAAGTCAGGAAAGAGTGGGGGACGTGCTGGCATAAAGTGGGGTTCATGAAGCTGTGGCATTTGCATTGTGCCAGGAACGCAGAGCTTCACCAATGTAACCCTTAGGTTTGTGTAGCTCTTGTGGCAATGCTATGGAGTACATACTATTACTTGCTGATTTCAGTTAGAGAAACTGAGGCACTGAGCGCTCACACAGCTTACTCAGGATTACATGGGCAGTTTGTGACCAGGCCAAGATCCAAATGCTGGCAGTGTGGATACCCCTGTCACGCTGCTTCCAGGAGGGCAAGACCCGGTGGTTGTCTCCTCTCCTCCTTCTCCCTCCCCAACCACCCCATCACCTTACCAAAGTGTCATCAGCTCACAGATCAAGGCTATCTCCAAACAGAATCCTTGCCAAGTTTAGAAGGAATGTAAAACAACACCTGCTCGGGCACTGCCATGAACAGTGCCCTTATCTACTGTGTCTCTCTGTGTATTTTGGTTGTGTCTCAGTGGGATGGGGGGAAAGAGCACCAGAGTTGGGCTCTGCCTCTCACCTAAAGTCTGACACTGCAAGCTACGGGACCTCCCCTGTTCCCAATTTCCCTGTCTACAGAATGGGATAACATTACTGTACACTTCCTAGGGTTTGCCCAGGACCAAGTGAGATGGCATGCGAGAGTCAAGGGTGGAGAGTTGAAGACTGGGGCCATGTTTGCTGTAGGTCTTCTAAATCAGCCCTCTGCTGCCCCCTCTGTAGATAGCAGATATTACACCAACTGAAACCTGCTCTAAAAGATGGGTCCTCAATTAAGACAGCTGCTGACCCTCATCCTTCTCTGGCCATCTGCCTAGTACTCCCCTGGAGACATGGTCCCCTTTAAAGAACTCTGAGTTCTTCCCTCTTCTAGCTCCACAACCCTAAGTCCTCAGACCCCCATTTATGTACATCCCTTTCATGGGATTTTAAGTTTAGGGTTTCTATTACCTCTTCTATGACTCCTACCACACACACACACACACACACACACACACACACACAACTTTGGGTTCTTCAGTTTGGCTCTTGTGGTTGCAAGAACTCAGAGTGAATAATCATGAAATGACTGAGATCGTATCAAGATGTCAGGAATGAGTTTCCATAAGGTCACCTTTCCAAACCCCCTTAAAACTCCAGCACCCTGTGACTGACATGAGACTGCCTAAAAAGAGATGACCGAAGTGTCGGGATATACGGGAACTCCTAGCTCTAGCGTTAGATAAAGACAGGAAGTTGCACAAGACCACTCCTGTTTCCAGAAGATCCAGGAAGACCAAAAAGGTGCCTCACCCTACTTCTTTTGGGGCAGCTTCGTATGATGTGTTTTACACATGGAAACCTGGGTGGGAAATTTACTCTCAAGAATATGTTCCCAGGTTTAAAAAAAATTTTTGAAGTCCATTGGACTAGGCAGTTTCTGAAGCTCCTTTGACTAATATTCCCCAATTCTCAGAAGTGCAATACAGGCTAGAGGCCATAGATTTTTAAAGATGAATTTAATTTTTAAGAATTTGCTTTTGAATTTTACAGCATCCCTTGAGGAATCTGTAGACCCTGTGGCAGAATCAAGGCTAGCAATTATCGCCTCCTTCCCCCACCTTTGTTTTTTCCTAGGAAGAGGCAATGGAGAATTGATTCCTAGCAAGTGGGCCGAGTCTGAAGCCTTTAGTCCGTGCCTGTAAAGCAGACATTCCCATGAACCGCCCCCGCCCAGGCCCTTATCACACAGGGAGTCAGGCCAGCCCAAGAGTGATCACTGAGATGTGAAAACTGTTGGAAAGGGGACGCTGGACGTGTGGTCTCTGCAGTTTGCTCTTTGTCAGGAGACGTCAACTGATAAGTGACAGTGTTAGCCACAGGCTGGGCTGTTAGGTGATTTTGTTTATGTGGTGGGAGCCATGAAGCACAGAAAAGCTATTAGTAAAGCCTGGGTGACTTGAGTTTCATTTAACAAACAGCCCGACAGATGTCCTGTCCGGTTCAGTGTGCCCAAACACAGACACACCACTCGCATCCACCCAGCCCAGCACTTCCCAGCAAGCTGGTTCCCTTCTGAACTCCTGGAAGCTAGAGTTGCAACCCTTTCAAAATTTATTTTTTCTTGAGATACTGGGGGCCAAACCTACAGTCTTTGCACTGAGCTACATGCCTAGCCCTAGTTTTTATTATTTTGAGCTAAGGTCTTTCTAAGTCATTGCATTGTGTGATGCTTTTCTTAGAGGTAGAAATAAGCATACCACTAAAACCTTAGGCTACAGTGTGCACCATCCACACGGCAGTTGTTTTACATAGTTATCATTCTACGTCATTGCTTGTGACTCTGGAATTAGAGGTCATCTCTCGGGGGATTGCTCCATCCCCCCCCTCTTTTTCATTGCTTCCCAGCAGCTAACCCGGTGTCTAACACATAATAGGTGCTCAATGTTTGTTAAATGGATTGTTTTGTTTTCTGTACCACACAGTTTTCCATGTGCAACAATATAAATGATGGCTTGCTAAGAAATAAGCAAGAAATTTTTCTTAGCAGAGGTATTATTTCAAATACTGGTGCATTGCTAGTCACTGAGTAGAGAAAATGAAATAAAATAAAGAGACATCTAGACATACCTATCATCCATTAGATTGTATATTTTGCCCCAGGTGGGGCCCTGGCCAACTTATTTGACCAGTCTTGTAGTTGCTTAGTAGATTACCCACTGGGTATTTTTCCTTAGAAATACCACACAGTCAGTCTAGCTGTAACATTCAGTGCCACCTGATATCAGTATTGTACATGTGGCTATTTTAGATCTGTGGTCATCTCAGATGACAAGGGTGGCTTTCACTGCAGACACTTATGGTGCAGCTCATCTATGCTGTTTTCCCCCTCTGTGAGCAGTGGGCTCTGGGAATGTGAACCTGAGTAGCCTGTGGCTTAGACCCCACAGAAACGGGAGTGAAGGCTGTGACTGATAGCTGTGCGAGCTGTTTAAAATCGACGATGCTGCTCTGGCAGGGTTGCTTTTCTCCTCATATGTGTGCTGTCTGTTGGATTCATTGCTGCGTTTTGTTGTAAATGTGCATCACAGTTGCACCAGAGATTCGCAGGCAAACTTTGGGAATTAGTTTAAATCACTGAGACATCCTCTCATCACCCACATTATAGTTCAGTAAGTAGCACCTAAATTGGAAGTCTTTCCCCAGTGAATAGACAGCCCTGAGTGTCATTGCTCTGTCTGGCGTCCTGGTGTCTCACAGTCTTTGTGACCCACTGTTTGGATGGTGAGCACACAGGTGCTACAAAGAGCTGAGGCAATTATGCATAATGAATTATTCCAGCCACATTTAATCATATAAATTAAACTATAAAGAGGCTAGAATGAGCAAAAGACAGAATTCATATTTTGGGTTTTCCTGCTCTCTCTCGGTGCAGAATTCCTTAACTCTAATCACTGTCATGCATGTGGGGAGTCCCCCTCCCCATGCCCTATTCCCCAGCAGACACCCAGTTGACGTCCTACAACCTAACTCAACTCTGACGCCGTCTGCTGATGTCAGACTCCATGGGTTAAGGGCCCTGGGACAGCTGAGCCCCCTTCCATTTCAGATGCCCATTGCCAGGTGAGATGGCCACCCAGAGCTCCGGACCCAGAATCTCCAGTCTGAGCAACCTCGAACTCACTTTGAGAGCATGAGGGGGCCTCCTCTCGAGGTCTCCCCTCGCTGCATGGATGGCACTGTCACTGCAAGCATCCCCAGGCACAGGGAGAGCCCTAGAAGCCACACTTGTCACATGAAGCCCTTCACACAGGTGCAAGAGGAGAAGCTGGACAGTGACCCCGGCTCCCCATGCCCTGGCCTTGCCACCATGTTCCAGCGGGACTTTGAGAAGCTCAAATTAGCCAGTTAGGTTATGTGAAGGCTACATATCAAGGAAAGAGGCTAGCAGCCCCTATTTTACCAGTTTGTTAATTTATAGTGGTTAAATATTTAAACGTAGTATTGAATCTCCATGTGTACACTTGCCTGGGGCCTCTTGAATGTTCCGCACACACTTGAACCACCCTGCCCACCGCTGAACCTGGTGAGAACATGAGAGGCACCCATCAGTGAACAAAAACTGGAAGTTATGTGTTCCTCCGCTGTCTCAGTGCTTTACACAGTGTAAACACCCTCTCTTCCTAGGGTGGGGAGATTTTCTGTTGTTCACAAATGTGTTTTTTGCTTAAATTGGTGCCTAAGCACAAACCAGCTAATTGATCTTTCTTTAGTTGTCAACCAAAGAAACAGCAGTTTATTTCAACACTGTGGGAGGAGTGGCTTGCTGGTGTGTTGGGCTAGGGGTTCTCCTGGGGGAGTCTAAGGGGCTCCAAGCAGAACTTTCGTGATGCATAACTTCTCCTGACCCATGAAAGTGATCCCACTACTCAGTCTGTTACCTGCAGGCGCCACAACCACCCAGCGCAAGGGAGAGGAGATTACTTTAATTCTGTACCTGCTTCTCAGTAGCAAACCCTAAACGTAACATCTTCATTGCTTCTTTAAATATATATAAAGGATAATAAATGCACACCCTGTGGCCAATTTAAAAGATTCCAACTTTGCAAATAGAGTTGAAGCTTCCTAGAACCTCTCCTTAGTCCTTTTCCTTTACACAGGTTTATGTGATTTCAATACTCTATGTGTATGTTAGGAATTATAGACTTAGGAGTGAATCTTAAGATCTGGCTGACTCATGAAAGACCCCCCACTCCCCGGCTCCCCAGAAGTGCAGATGTCGTTTTTGGGAATTTTAAGCCTGACTGTTGTTTGCAATCCAAGTGTCAAACAGAGAAGGGGGCATGGACTTCACCGTGGACTTTCACAGCGTCACCACTGCTCCAGCAGGGCGCCTCACCCCTGCCCACAGCCTGACCGTGACCCTTGACTGCACGGGTGGGTGGGGCTCCCGCCTGGCCCCCTCTTCAGCCTTCCATGCTGCAGCGTCAGAACCGCTCAGCACTGCAACCCCCAGGCCCTGTCACCTTCCACACTCCTACCTCTCACTGGGGATCCAGATTACAGTTGTCCTTTATGAGAAAGTGAACAAAACCCACACTGTTGCCTTATTAGGGTTTCTGGAATGCACAGAGGAAAGTGCATGGTCTCACCTACCATGTCTAACCGGAAGGCAATGTTCACAAATTCATGATGGTGCTAGGAGTTATTTCTGTACACCTACACATACATGGGATATTTTATTAATATTGGGTAAATCAAAAGGACAGACTTTCAAAAATTAAAATAAATAATTTGCATTTCAATTAAGGAAAATAGATTGGAATTTAAAAAGCCCGAAATGATCTTGTTTTTGGAGACTTAAAAATCACTCTCTTCGTGGAAATGAAGATTTCTCAAACTCTGTATGACTTTTATGACAGTAAGAGAGAACGCCCAATAAGAGGGGATGTCTGGAGAGGTTTACTTTAAGGTTTATTAATTTTAAAGAAACAGGTCTGGTATCAGCTAGCAGGTGTGCGTTTGCAAGATGAGTCTTTGTTACTCCCGCAGGGCTCTCACGTGGTGACCGAAGAGCTTCACTCCATAACCTTTGAGACACAGATCTGCCTGTATGGCCTGACCATCGATTTGGAGGTAGGTTTCTCTAATGTGATGAACAGAGACAAACGATAGAGCTATTGACAGTATATTGTTCCGACCCTCTTCTGACAGTCACCATGAAACTCAAAAGAATAAAGAAATCTTGGGGGTTAAATTGGACATGGTTGACTCTGAGCACCTTGAAGGCAGGATACCCTGCCCTGTTTGTACAGCACCATCCGGGCCCAGTATCTAGTGCATACTGTAGCAGATCCTCAATATTTGTTGAATAAATGAACCAATCAGTGTGAGGATAAACAGAATGTAACACACCTTGAGTATAATCCTGTTTGTGGAGTGTGTTGTTTTAGAGTGCTGCCTTTGTTCTTTTATCTTAATGAATGCAAACAAGTTTGTTACACTTTCAGAGGTCCCCTCCTCATCTCCTTTCCCCAAATCTCTGGCCCCATAAGCTATTAAGTTCCTGAAGTGGGTCCATTATTGTCTACAGGAATCTGATATCTGTTATTGGGAAGGGGCTGTTCTAGGCTGATGAGTCTCCCAGGCCAGTCTGCGAAAGCCTCTTTATTCCATAAGGTAGTGCAGTAGCATTAGTTCTGCAACAAGACACCAGCTGGTACCAGCTCAGATAGCTTCCTCTCCACCTTTTTTGGAATAAAATACCCCACTTCCAGTACTGACATTCATTAGGCATTAGGTCATCCTTTGAATATTCAGATTCAACCAAAGGTAAATTTAAAATCAGATTCTCTAATGTAATTTAGACAGAGGAGAGTTGCTAAATCAATAGGATCTCTCATTAGTTGCATTTGAGGCAGTACTATATGTGACACCGGAAGTGTGAATATCTGTGCAGGGGCAGGGGAGACACTGGGGAAGCTGCCTGACTCCCTGTGCCCTGACTTGCATCTGCTCTGAGAGTCCTGCTGCCCTCAAAAGTCATTTAGTGACAGACAGCATGGACATTAGGACTGGAAGTGGGGTTGGCCTGAGATGACCCTTTGGAGGAGAGGGTTAAGTGTAAGTGTAATGTGAGGTATTACTACCTGTAATAATTCTTCTTTTAAATACCAGACCAGTTCATTACCTGTGGTGATGATTTCCAATGTCAGTCAGCTACCTAATGCTTGGGCGTCCATCATTTGGTACAACGTGTCAACCAGTGAGTCCCAGGTAGGGTCCTTATTCCTAACCTTTTCCCTCTAGTTTTGTTTGATTTATTTTATTGTGTGTGTATAGTTTTATTTCTAGCTGCATGATGCCTCCCAAGACTTATTTAAAGTAGCATGTTCTGACACATTCTGAGAGTTCTGGCTAGCAAAAGGGATAAAAATCTGTTATCTCTGAGTGTTTGGTCAGCTCTCAACAACAATGTGCATCATAGAGAGTTCTCTGGCCACCTTCTGGCTCTGTCCACCAGAAGCGAAACTCCTGGACTGCCATCAGAATCTGGTATCTTACTTCTTTAGCTTCCTCTGGACCTTTTCCCTCAATGTCTTCCATAAAAACAGAGAATCAGTTTCTGGAATCTTCATCCATCTTTCCTAACTGTACTCCGACAGTACAAAAGCTTGGTTGATTCCGTCAGTTGTGCCCTTCCAAGGCTTAAGCTGGGTGTTAGTGACATCTAGCGGTTATTTGAGACCCTGACCAAAACTCATCTCCAGTCACAATGCGAGTGATTAATAGATGCTCTACAAAGACCAGGGAAGGGAGTGGCCAGAAAAGATGAGCCAGCACTTCTTCTTGCTTCCTCTTCACCAGATCTCAGTGTATGGTTTCAGAAACCACCAAGGACTAGAAAAATAGGTCAAATCTAAATAACAGCATGTCTTGTTAATTCAAACCAAATGTTCCCTCCAAAGAATTCTTTCCTGTTAGATCCCAGCAATAAGAACAAAGCCAGTATAGGTCAGCTCCACGTACTCTTTCCCTTCAATCAGAGATGGCGGGGAAATTGGCTGAGCCCTACTCCTCCTTGAGCACAGATGCCCTCACCGGGAGGAAGCTGCCCTGTCCCTGTGCCAGGCTTCTTCTCAGCCTGAAGAGGTGGAGAACTCAGTGAAAAAGTCACCTGGTCTTTAAGGCCAAGAACAGCCCCAAGATTAAATGCCACTCCCCATCTGGAGCTACACATGCCTCACTTTTCCTTCCGCTCCGGGATGGAGGGAGGAGATGAGCTACTTCCCTGTCCTCCAGCCTCTTGTCAGCAACTCTGTGGAAAAGCCACCAAGGCCATCACGCTAACCACCCCTGATTTCCTCAGTGCCAGCCCGAGACTGGAGATTAGGACATACCCAGCTCCTAAATCCCCTCATTACACCACTCATTGCAGAACCCGCTAAGCAGCTAACCCTGATTTCTTAATTCTGCCCTGCTTTGGAGCCTAAGCTTTTTGACCCAGATTATATTCTGTGCTTTCAGACATTTTTCCAGACACAAGGAACGTTCCCTAGAAATTATTTTTCTTCTCTCCTCTTCTTCCTATCTCTCGCTCCTTGTTGGAGGCTGTGTCCTCCTATTCCCACTCCCTGAAGTGTCTTGGTCCTTTTCCTTGCTGCCCAGCATAGCTCGTGCTCACCAATGGCCCCTCCAGATATTTCTCCAGGTTTCTCAATGCTTCCCCTCCTTCTCTTCTGAGAACATATTTCTTGGTTTTCACACCTAACTGCTTTCCCGCAATCTGGAACAAAGTCTTGTACTCCACTATGGCTGACCCAGTTGCTAGCATAACCTTGTTTATAGTTGATCATAGGGAATAGTCTCTTATGTAGAGCAAAATAAGAAAAGAATACTGCACTACCCATAAAACAGGAGTCTGAGGTTAATCATAAACTCGTATTATAGGATTCCTTTCCTTAGCCTGTGACTTTACTGTTTCTTATACCTTGTGATGATTGATTGGGCCAAGGTATAACTTGTGGCAACTCATAACGAGCCAATTAAGCATAATACAAGCTTTCTTTAAGATGAATATTGGTAAGCACAGTGGCATATCCCTGCAATTCCAGCTGCTCTAGAGGTTGAGGGAGAAGAATTGCAAGTTCAAAGCCAGCCTGGGCAACTTAGCAAGACCCTTGGTCAAACTTAAACAAACAAACAAAAAACTAGAATGGTATGGGGATGCTGGTCAGTGGTAATGTACTCCTGGATTTGATCCCCAATTCTGAAAAAAATTATTATTATTTCAGAAAAGAGTATCCGTCCAATTATTTGTTAGATAGTGTTAAATACTTATATAAGCTGACTGATAGTCCAGGGACAATTAAGAGATGCCAAATGATTCTTTCAGGAAAGAGGGAGCCCTGAATTATATTACACTTAAGGAACAAAAGGCCCTTTGGGAAAAAGACAGCAGCAGTCCTTAAAAGGAACAGGATGACAGCACATCTGTGCTGTTAACCTAGGTCGGCCTGGGCTGTAAATCCTGTGCATTGAGTTCCGGTGTTTTCAGGGTAACGAACAAACACAGTCCGCATCACAACTCTGTTTCAGAACTTGGTTTTCTTTAACAATCCCCCACCTGCCACCCTGAGCCAGCTCTTGGAGGTCTTGAGCTGGCAGTTTTCTTCCTATGTCGGCCGTGGCCTTAATTCGGATCAACTCAACATGCTGGCAGAGAAGCTCACAGGTGAGAGTGGGAGGGGTGGGGGGTTCCCTGCTTGGGCCACTCGTGTTTCCAAGCGCCAGGATGATGTCACTGCCATGATTAGAGGGCCTGTTGCCACAGCTTCGTGAGTGGACACCACACTGCCAGCCACAGGGCTAGTGCTGCTGTGTCCCCTTCAATTCTCGCAGAAGCCCTTCAAGGCCCACATTTATAGATGAGGATGCAGAGGAGCAGAGGTTAAGTGACTGCCACCCTGGTGGCCAAGACGCGGTGGAGTCAGGCTGTCAGGGCCCCTCTCCACACCACACTCCAGCGTGTCCGTCAGCTGCCCCCACTGAGCGTGCTACGCGACCTTCACGGTGCCTTCGTCACTCACATTCACATCTCAGCCACGTAACCCACCTGGAAAAGGACCGATTCCTTCAGCAAGTGCAGGAAATGGGACAGAAACTTCAAAGCACCCAGTAATAAATTGATCTGACTATCAAGAAAGTTTCAGCTTTGACTGAGATTTCTGAAGTTTACAAAATAGTTATTAGTACGAAAAGCACTGACCACAGTCTAAGCTTTGTCTAAAAGAATTTTAAGAGATATCTGTATTTTGACTAGTGTGGTGTTGACAGATTTACTACTAAAAAGAGTTCATGTTGGTCTGTACACATTTATCCCAAAGTAGGGCCAAAGATGCATTCCTGCAGCAGGGATAGAATGACGTGTGATTGAATTTTGACCTCAGTCATGCTGGGTGGTTTATTACCTGACCTCATCAATAGGTATTTAAATAAATCAGGACTATGGGAATTATTACAGAAGTAGATTATTGCATACATCTTTTTGATCCATATTCAACTCATAAATAGCAATAGTAGGCATTTAATTAATATGTGTTAATGAACAAAGTTTTTAATGTGTACTATAGATAGCATCCATATTCTTTCAGACCCTTATCTAACCATGCATATGAGTTTAATTAGCAGAACAATGTAGGTAGTATGTCTAACTCCTGTCATACTCTGGATCCAGACAGCCTACGCTGCCTATCCTGCAGTGGATATTTAGTCCATTCTTTACATCTTGAGGCGAGGCTGTTGGCGATCTAGCTACACCCAGTTTGTACCATTTTATTTATAAATGTTAATTCACCTTCATCAGGCATCTTACTGTCCCTTGTAGGAGGCACCCTCATGTCCAGCACACCTTATCCTTGTCCCACATTATCCTTGCTCCCTGGAATTCTTCCCTGGATCTCTTCTCACAGTTTATATCCTACCCTTTCCTGGTGCTTCCTAGAGCCATTGTTAGTGGCTCTGTCTAAAGCTTCTAAGAAATGTCCTAGGAGTAAGACAAGCAATCATATATTTGTATCATCCTACTACTCAGTACACTGTAAGACCAAAGCAGGCACATAAGCAATGCTTGAAAGGGAGGAGAAAAAAAATCTACAGTGAACACAAAATTCAAGAGTCTCATTATGGAAATGTTTTAATCTTATTTTATTTCCCTTCACTTCAGTGCAGTCTAGCTACAGTGATGGACAACTCACCTGGTCCAAGTTCTGCAAGGTACAATAGGGGAGGGAAGGGAAGGTCATTGAAACCAATACTGCTCTTGTCTAAGCTGAGGTTTCGAGGATTTCCTGGATAAGGATATTTTTCAAGAAAGTAAAGTATTGTCCAATTTAATGAAAGCATTTTATTGAAAAATGGAGACTGAGTTACTGCTATACAGTGTTATTGTTTAAATAACCATTATCCTGATGTGCTTATTTATTCCAATAGGAGCACTTACCTGGTAAATCATTTACCTTCTGGACATGGCTTGAAGCAATATTGGATCTAATCAAAAAACACATTCTTCCCCTTTGGATTGATGGGTGAGTGAGGGGCTGTTTCCATGAGTCAGGTCCTCTTTTTCTGTTCTTACTGGTTTTCTTTTCCTTTCAAAGATGTTTAGTACCATGGGCAGGAGAAAAACATCTGTAGTTTCTAACTTTCTCCAGAAAGTGTTGACATACATCTATGAGTATGTCAGGGATGACTAACTTTTGGTTATACACAAACCGATCTTTAGGTCTATTGTTTATGAATGAAATAAATGCAGTAATGACCAGCTGAGCCTTGTCTTGCTCCATTTTAGGTACATCATGGGCTTTGTTAGCAAAGAAAAGGAGCGGCTGCTGCTGAAGGATAAAATGCCCGGGACATTTTTACTAAGATTCAGTGAGAGCCATCTGGGAGGGATAACCTTCACCTGGGTGGACCAATCTGAGAATGGTAGGCCGTCTATTCCTGTGCCTTTAGTGTCCTCTATTTGGGTTCCTGGGATTCCCAGACATGTGTGGTGTGTGGATCTGTCAGCGAGCACTCACAGTGTGGTTTTCCTGCACATTCTGAAAGCCTGTGTGGTCGCCCGTGAGCACAGGCACCACTTGTACCGTCCAGGCTGCGCAAGGTCTGACGTTGGTTTTCAATCCTGAACTTAATGTGGGCAGGAAGAATGGCCTCGAGGAACATCTGCAGGATCTGGGATGTTCCTCCAATGTCTGTCTTTCAGGAGAAGTGAGATTCCACTCCGTGGAACCCTACAACAAAGGCAGGTTGTCTGCTCTGCCATTCGCTGACATCCTTCGAGACTACAAGGTCATTATGGCTGAGAACATCCCCGAAAACCCTCTGAAGTACCTGTACCCTGACATCCCCAAAGACAAGGCCTTCGGTAAACACTACAGCTCCCAGCCATGCGAAGGTGAGGGCCTCTCTCTGCTTTTCTCTCCACCTTTTGGGAAATAACATCATATCAGAGCAAAGTAAACGAAGCCCCTCTTTTTGTGTACTTTGATCTCTGAGCCCCAGGGTAGGGAGCACCGAGGTCAGTGGTTGCTGAAGAGGGGCCGCTGGAGCCATCAGACAATTAGTGGTGGTCACAGCACCCCCTCCCTATCGTGGGGGTCACTGTAGACCTCAGGGCTCCTCCTTCCCAAGACAGGAGCAATGCTGACTTCACTTCTAGTCCTGGGAGAAAGGAAGAGAGGAGGAGGTGACAATTAAAGCTTTTACAGGGGTCCAAAGGTTTCTCACATTGCTGTCATCTTATAATTCAGTGCTTCATCTTCCCCTCCCTTCTCTACCTTTCCTGGTGCATCCTGAGGGCCTAGAACAGCATCTGGCCAAAACAGGCATTCAGTAAATATTTACTAACTACATGAAAGAAAATTAACGAAATTAGCTATAGAATTAGAAGGTGAGTTCATGCTTTTGGCTCCTTAGTGAAAGTACACTCCCCTGCCCCATGTCATGGTTTCTTGCTGCATCTGCAGATTCAACCAACCCATGATTAAGAATGTTTTTAAACTGCATCTGAGCCAGGTGCAGTGGCACATGCCTATAATTCCAGCAACTTGGGGGACTGAGGCAGAGGGCTGCCAGTTTGAGGCCAGCTTGGGTAACCTAGTGAGATCCTGTCTCAAAATTTAAAAAAAGAAAGGTTGGGGATATGACTCAGCTCTCCCTGAGTTCAATTCAGAGAGAGAGAGGTGGCGAGGGGAGGAGGGGAAGGAAAAGGAGAGGGGTAGGGAGGAAGAAAAAAAGAAAAAGGAAAGAAAGGCAGGCTGGGATGTGGCTTAGCACTCCCTAGGTCCAATCTGTAGTGCAAGGAAAGAAATTTTTTTCTTGCCATTATTTCCTAAGGAGTGCAGTATAACTACCACTTAAATAGCCTTTACATTGTATTAGGTACTATAAACAACATAAAGATGATTTAAAGTATATGAAAAGATGCCTGTACGTTACATGCAAACACCACACTGTTTTATATAAAGGACTTAAATCCAAGGATTTTAGTATCCACTGGGTTTGCTGGAACCGATTCCTCGTAGATACCAAGGGACAACTGTGTGTGCTGTCTGCAAAAACCTTCATCTCTAGTGAGTGAATCTCTGGGCACTCTTTGTGGGAGATCCTAGGGTTGTCACACTCACAAATGGTGACATGCTGCTACCAGAATTCATCCTGCTCTGGAACAAGTGGCCCTTAAGTGGCACTCTAATATAATGAAATGCAAATGCCAGTGAACAGGTGGCTGTTGGAAATTGGTGTACCTGGGAATGCGGGGAATGTTCCCCAGGGTGGGTGAGCAGTCCTCATTACTACAGCTTTCCTAGTCAGGATGGGCAGTGGTGTTTGAGGAATGCTCATTCTGAGCTTCAGAAATTTGTGTAATAATAAGTTATGATTAGTGTCAGTTTTACTGAAAAGAACTGGGGTACTATAAATCCTGTAATGCATGAATAAATCAGGACTTACAATCACATGTAAATGCAACGAGAAGAAAGGTAATATAGTTCTTAATTTTTCTCACACACTTCAGACACGTCAATATGTGAAGTCATGTTAGGCCTTCAGAGGGACTAGTTCTCTTCTTGCACATTTTGTGCTGATCTAGATGACTGTTTCTTCTATTTAACTGAAAATTTGTGTGAATCACTGAACAACTGCATTCTCTCTCTTCCTTTTAGCATTACAGATATTTCTCGAGATGCATTGGTTTCTATTTTTATCAATAATGTCGGTAATGTTTCCCCCCAACACTGTGCCCTTCTTTTCCAGTTTCAAGACCAACAGAAAAGGGAGACAAAGGTTATGTTCCTTCAGTCTTTATCCCTGTTTCCACAATGTGAGTAATCTTAGTCACATGTAAAATATTTATTATTGAATTTTTTTATTAAAAAAAGATCTTCCTATAAGAGATTTAAGGGTAGATCAGAGTGCATATAACTGAGAATAAAGCATTTTAATATCTAATAATTATGTCTCCTTTCTTGTAAGTCATAAAACTAGTCTTCAGGGCACACTTACTGCAGTCTCTTATGACTGGAATTAAAAGTTGCCCTTTTATATGTCATATATAGTGTGGTTTATATGTCATCTATAGTGTGGTTCGATGCTGTGATATGAAATGATGAATTAGGCAGCTCAGTGTCACAGACAGATGCAGCCCTAGAAATGGGTTCCGGACACACTAAGTCACCATGGCGCTGATTCCCTCATCTTAGAACCCTGACCTATTGTCTTATCTCTTCAAGCCGAAGTGATTCTGCTGAGCCACAGTCGCCCTCCGACCTCCTCCCCATGTCTCCAAGTGTATATGCAGTGCTGAGAGAAAACCTGAGTCCCACAACCATCGAAACTGCCGTATGTTCCCTTCCTTTTCCATTGCTAGTCCAAGCGTTTGCAATGAAATGAAGGGGGGTGTGGATCAGAGCAGGAAATGTGTATGGGTACAAATTCATGCCTGGTGCTGGTGTCCCTGACACTGCGGGCATTGAAAGCAGACACCTTACTTTGCTGGAACTGCTTTAAATTGCTTCCATCAGAGAATTTGCTCCACCAGAGAACAAAATATCCCTACCCAGCACACTGTCCCTAGTCACAGCCCCATCAGTTCCCACACTCTCTCCACTTCAGTAAGCAACATAGACGCACTAGTCAATGTGTTTATGCCTGCCTTAACACCTATTCGAACAGCTTCAGCACCACAAATCCCAATCTCCCATCTCCGGAGCCTCTCCAAGTAGTCCATGAATAACCATTAACAGCAGCATAATGCGACTCTTCTTTCCGAGATTCTGATCTGCAACACGTGAATGCTACTCACAATGCATTCTGTTTGTTCTTATCCCCCCAAATTGTCAAATCGTGCTCCCAATTTACATGAAAGTGACATTCATCATCAAAGAATCTTGAAGGGATCCTGAGACCCCAGATTTGTATCTGGCTAGAAACTGAGTGGTATTTAGTCCTTCTCTGGAAGATTTCCAGGGACGGAAAAATTCACACTCTTCTCTAAGAACTTATTCCAATGTTAATTGCCTTTAACACACAGTTTTTAGGTCTTAACTGAACTTTTGCTGCATTCTACATCCACTTTTTCACTGCATTTTTGGTGTGATGAATGGGCTTTCTTCAGTTTTCAACCTACTCAAAAGGTGCCTTTTATTTCAGACTAATCAACCACAGTTACTTTTCTTGAGTACTTAGTGATTAACTGATAGAGAAATTATAGAGCAGTTAGTAGACAAGAAAAAAAACAGTGATTTATTGGTAGTTTCCTCAACAAATATTTTCATTTTCAATTTTAGATGAAGTCGCCGTATCCTGCTGAGTGACCAGATAAACTCTGCCATTAAAAGACTGTTCTTTGCCAAAGACCACATCTTGTTTCTTCAGCTTTGTAAATACTGGTTTCCAGGAAATGGAAGGAGTCTGGAGAGCCCCTCTTGCTGGCCTAATGCCTGAATGGGCAGAGTGGTGGCTGCAGGGCAGCAGATCCATCCACACACCTTTAAGAAACCAGTGTTAGTAACAATATAACATTCACAAAATACAGTACTTCTTTGCATGGTTTTTTTCTTTCTGATTTGTTTCTCAAGTGCCGCTTATGATCTGCACTCTGGAAAGTGTAAACATTAACATTTTAGGGTATGTTTAGAAAAAGAGACGCTACCTTACTCCAAACCAGCAGGAAGGCCTGGGAAGCCGAATCAGAGCCAGCACATAGATCCAGGATAGGTGTAAGGAGGAGGCCCCGAGAGCTGCAATATGGCCTAACTGTGATCCTCTTAATTAGCAGCTCAACACTGTCCTGGCCCACGAGGGGCACCTGTCTTACTAGGGAGAGAGACCCAGGGTCATTCCTAGCCGTATCTTCAGTTGCATGATGTTCCAGGCACTGGAAGCAGACAGTGAGGTAAGAATCTCATGAAATGAGAGCGGGGAAGAGTAACAGCCCTGGCCTCAGGTGACTGATTCCATCTATGGGTTGTGTGCTCTTCGTTTCTAGAAGAGATTGAATCAATGGTTCTTTCCAGCTCTACTGGCCTGTGCTCCTCAGAATTTAACCTGAGACCACAGTGCACTTTCTTTGCTCTTCTGTGCTTTGCTGGGTGGAAATGCACGTGTATGAGCCGCAGGTCTGTTTTCGCCCCTACCTCCCCATGACCAGCTGCTTAGCGATACCAGGGCCCAACCACTGACCTCAGTAGTAGTATGAGATCCCCAATGCCCAAGACCTGAGGGCTCCCTGAGTCTGATGAGCCCAAGGAAAACTGCTGAGCCAGGGGAGGAAATTGTACTACTGAGGGATCTTCCATGACTGACTGCAGAAATCCCCTAAGCTGCTTTCCAAGGGGGAGCCCTGACTGCAGAGTCAGAGACCACAGTGCCCCCTAAAGGGCTTCCCTCTCCTTCCATTCACCTCCTGGCCCCCAGGCAAACCCAACAGGCACAGACTCAGATTGATGGAGTTTGTCATGGTTTATATCCAGATGTCTCCCCCGAAAGCCTCATTATGACCATAGGTTTCTGGGGGTTGACTGGATCTTGGGGTTATGGCTGACTTTCTGTTATGAGCTGGACAGAAGAGTTGGGTCACTGTGGGCGTGGCCTGGTAAGGTATGTCTCCCTCCCAGGCCCTTCCCTTCCCTCCCTGCTTCCTGTCCGCCATGCCATGAGCAGCTCTCCTCTGCCAGGCCCCTCTGCCATGCTGTCCTGCCTTGGAGCCTGCCCACTTTGGACTGAAGCATGAGCTAAAGTTGATCTCTCCTTTAAGCTGTGGGTGTCAGGTATTGTGTCTCGGGACGAGAAAGTGACTAAGACAGATTTCAAGGAGAAAAATTAGCTCTTACTATTATAAGCTGCCTTTTCCCTTAAAGAGACCCACCCACGACTAATCTTATCATCTGTACCCACCTGCATGTTCCCAACTGGATCCTATATGGTTCCCACAGGGCAAAACCCCCCTGCTGCTCCAGAGCCAGTCCCTTACTGCTCCGCAAGCTCCAGACAGAACCCTTAGGGCTAAGGTGTCCATTGTTGGAGGACCACAGCTTTCTTAAGGTGCCTTTCCCAGTCTCTACAAACCCACTTTTCTACAACTGCCTGAGACGAATGTATCCACTGGCAGCAGAGATGGAGGAAATAGTATAAACCTGAGTGTGATTATTACAGTTTTATATTTGAAAAAGTAATTTGCTACCAAGAAGTGGTCAAACAAGTGGATTTAGAGACCAGAAAGCTGCACATGAGCTACGAATGCAATGGGAAGGGAATTCGGACCATATTTCCAGCAAACTCCAACCCGGAATATTCTTTCTGCCAACTATGACTTAGTTCAGACTGCTATAAAAGTAGATGGTCTCTAAACAACAGTAGTTGACTTCTCACAGTTCTGGAAGCGTGAGGTCCAAGATGGAGTTGCTGCAGGGCCAGATTCTGCTGGGGCCTCTTCCGGGTGGCTGACAGAGGACTTCTCACCTGCTTGAAGCACCCTCAGATCAGCAGCGAGCTTGGGAGTCGCCCGGCTCTCTTTGCAAGGGCATGAATCCCCCTGAGCCAATTATTAGAATTTCAACATATGAACTTGGGGGTGGGGACAAACATTCAGCTCCCAACAAGCTCGTGACAAACTATAATGAAATAAAATATAGTTTCAAAATATATATCACATTTTCACTTCTTCCCTCACTCATCCCAGACCAATCACAGGTATGCATGTTGCTAATACCTTTTCAAGTTTTTTAAATGTAATCACTTGAACAAATTGTATCCGTGCCTTTATTGGGAAGTGTGGAAGTAGGTGGCTAGCAGAAGGTTCCCTCCAGATGTAAGGTAGGAAGGAAAGGGAACGGAGTTTAGGGTTGAGCCATCCTAGGGCTCTGTTGTAGCAACAGGGTCCAGACTTAAACTCTAATCCTGTGCACGGCTCCAGTTTCTAACACAGGGTAAAGACTCTGTCTTTAAGTTGTGAACATTTATGGATTCGACGTTACATTTTTATAATCTGGCTTATAAGGGTATATTCAGAGTAAAATTCACCCTTTTTCTTTTTGTCTATGAATTCTAACAAATCCACACAGTTCAGTACCCACCACTGTAGGACACAGAACATTTCCACCAAATTGGCCCATTTCACTCCCTGTTGAAATCTTTGAATGACGTGACTCTATGTCAGCAATTCTTGCTGGGGTGAATGGGCAGAAGACAGGTTCATAAATTTGAATGGCAAAAGTTACAGTTTTATTTCTACCAACTTCAAATTGAAGGTTTTAATTTCCATCAATTCTGAAGAAGGGCAGCAAACCATAACCCACACTACTTTTTTGTGATATCATAGTAGTTATAGTTACCTCAAAATATTGTTTATCCAGAACATAATTTGGAAATTGTATTCATCAGACCACTTCTGGCTACTTAATGCCATTTATAAAAAAGCACTTATATTACAAAGGTGGTTTCAATGCAGCTTTAATATATCACAAAGTTGGCTCAATGTCTGTATTTCAATACAAACGGTTTCCTCTTTAATCTTGGGTCTTTTATTTAAATAAAAGCATTACTCTTCAAAGGAGTTTATAGGTTTTGGCAGGCTGCCAAAGGGGTCATGGCACCAATTCTTTTAAAAATAGGAATTCCAGGTCTGGATAGAGACCTAATTCTCCACAAATATCCCAAAGTCATATACTCTTTGGCCTCAGACTTCAGGTCCTGTCCTCCAAAACACAGACACAAGACTGAAAGCTAGAACTGCTTTCAGTTTGCCGGCTCAGGCTCTGCATGTCCTGGCCGGGGCCTCTCCTTCTTCCAACGCCATCTCTGGATGTTGTTCATGTACCCCCAGGCTCTCCACAGCCTTCCTGCCAAATGTACACCTGTGCACACCCTCACAAGGGTATGCAAGAAAGGCACGGGCACACCCGCCTCCCCTGCAGCTTCCTCTGGAACCTCGCACAGCACTCAGCACGTTGCCATCCATACACACCATCTGTCCCTCACCTCTCCAAGCCACCCTGTAAGTGCAGGGATCAGGATGGCCTTGTTCAAGCTTCCACCCCTAGAAGCCAGCAGTCTGCCCCTTCATAAATCTTTGCTAACGATTTAGTGTTTGAACACATTCAGGACAATGATTTGCCCCATCCTTTCCTTTGGTCCTTGCTCTGTCGGCAAGACTAGGCTACAGTTCTCTAGGAGACGCCTCCAAGCCTCAAATCCCTCATGCTACAGCGCAGCTAACCACAGCATGCTGTTGGCAAATACAGGACTTTCGCTCATTTCACCTCCCCTTAATTTCCACGCTCTGTAGAAATGGCCTGGAACAGCACCATTTCTAAGCCCACCCTGACTTCCCCATGCTTTAGATGTCATCTCATCGGCGCCTAATGACCCCACATCCGCCCACCCACAGATGAGCCAAATGTTCCTGAAATTTCCTTTAACTCCCCCTTCCCCGGCCATTCCTACTCCTGGCCCTGTTCAAAGTCCACACAACACGCTCTTCCATCAGGCTTGACAGCCCTGACTGTTACAGATGGAAAAAGTCTAAGTGGCAGGTCGCTCTAAAACCCTTCCGCGAAGATTTCCAGAACATTCTTGCTCACGAGTCTCGTCCTCCCAAGACGCTGCTGCAGTCAGAAGGAAGAAACCTGACTCACTCCCGGCGGTGGGTCAGTGTGTTCATCCATTGCAAAAATATGTTTGAGGACTACCCTTTATCAGTCATGCCTTTCTCATCTAAACCCCAAGACCCAGAAGTGATTTTCTTGGTGATTTTCTCAGTTCTCCCAAGGATGGCACACAATGGAGGCAACACGGCACAGTCTTTCCTGCTGCACTTATGCCCTGCTGAGGAGAGATGAAAACAGACACATAATCTGGGAAACGAGGGTGGTAACCAGAAGAGCCATCGGCGAGGGTCTTTCTGGGGGGGGTGACTGAAACCAGCTAAAACACAGGAAGGAGCCTGTCCACGAGCAGTCAGGAAGACAGCGGCCCAGAAGCTCAGTATTCGATGCACAGGACTCAGCAGGCAAAAACTCGGGGCATTTGAGGAACAGAGGGGCCTTCTTAAACTTCTTCCTAAGTTTGGAATAAAGGCGCCACATTTTCCGTCTGTACCTGGCCCTGCAAACTCTGTATCTGTCCTGGGTGCTGCTTCTTCGCACAAGGGGAAATAAACGTGCACTTGCTCTGCGGGGTTCACGGCCAGTGCCCAGGAGCCATGCAGGCCTCGGTGGTCACGGGGACCGCGAGAAGGCCCCTCCCACTGGGGGTTCCCACCGAAGTGGGCGCCCAGGCCTCCCAGACCAGGCACAAACTCAGCGGGCCGGGCCCAGCTCGTTCTGCGCGGCCACACTGCAAATCTCTCGCACTTCTGCTACAATCTCAGACGGAGCCCACGCGGGTAGCAAGCCCAGTAACAGGACGCGACAGCCGTCCCCTCCAGCGGCCCTCCGACTCAGCACGGCGCAGGCGGCGTAGACCCGGAGGGGAGGCAGGGTGGCCCGGCGGCCCGGAACCTGTGCAGCACTTGGAGTAATCGCGAAAGTCCCCTG